TTGTTGAAAATTTTAGAAAAATATACAAGTTAAAATGGGCTTAACACTTGTTGAAAATTTGGAGAAATTTATAAGTTGGAGTTAGCTGAGGTAATTATGAATAAAGCATCCGAGAAATATATTACCCGAGGTGACCAACCAGGTTGTCCAAGCTTGGAAATGGTGAAGTCTTAATAGAAGATAGCATATGGAGGTAAAAAAAGCAATACTGAATAACACTTGTAAAAATATTTTGATATTTTTAAAGTGCTAGCCGAGGTATGCCAATGGTTGGTCGAGGAAAACAGTCAAGGTTTATATCTGAGGTATTATATCCCGGTGTTATTATACAGTTAAGGTATACTTTGAAGAAATACAAAAATTGATTTGTAATGGCAACGAACAGCATGTAAATAAGTAACAGATACGCAACAAATCAAAAATAAAGGACAAAGATTACAAGACAAGAAATCATGAACTTACCAAATAAACGCTAGAAAGAAGTTTGCCAGAGTCCAACGTTGGTATTGTCTAGAGCCCAGTAGTAAAAAGCTTGCCGGAGCGGAAGTCAGATGAACGCAGAAAGCTTGAAAGAACGGTAATGGAGGGTTGAGGGAAATTTTGTAGACAGAGAAAACTTTGAGAGAGAGTGCGAGAATGCGAAGTGAAAAGACAAAGAGAGAAAAAGTGTTTTTGTTAAAAAGCGAAAAGGCAGCAAAACATAATTAAACACCTTGGACGACGTGCTTGTCAGGCGGTGTGCACAGAAGCGATGCGACTTGATAGCGCGTGTCAGGTACGAACTGATAAGGAAAGGATGCGTGGTAGAAACGGTTGAGAAAAACCGTGCGTGACAGCTCATGCGTAGATAAAACTCTTGGAGTTTTTGATTTAATAAGGCAAGAACCTCGGCTAGAGGGACGATCTCAGTTAAAGAACTTGAAAAAACTTGGTTCTTGGTTCTTAGGCATTGGTAAAGTAGAACTGTAGAGTCATGGGCACGAGAGCCGACATATGATGATTTCGGTCATAAAAGATGGAGTGAGTCCTAGCCGAAGTGCTATATGGACAAATGATGAAGGTTCCATCACCTCAGGATGCCGAGGTAATAGAGCCTAGGGGGCAGTTGTGGGGGCATATTTTTGTGAATGACAATACGTGGCCAAGGTGGCACCGAAGTGCCAGCCGAGGTGCCACGTGTCCTGGTCATGGCATCGAGGTCATCTCGTCTAGGCCAGGATTTTCTACGGAGATACCGGAATCCGAGATGAATGGATAAGGGATAAGAGTCCTAGAATGGGGCAGGACCTCAGTCTAGATAAATATAAAGCTCTTAGGGAGTTTATCTCTATCTATTTGAGAGTCCAAGATAAGCATTGAGCCAGAGTCCATTGAAGCTAGGCTTCTACAGGGATCAGGTCAATGCTGGCTATAAAGGTAAGGCACCTTCGTGGGTCTAAAATACGCTTTTTGTATCTTGGCTAGTGAGTCAAACATTGTTTGCTATCTTTGAGAGATAATAGAGTACTGACTTGATCATCGGAGGGCCCCCAGGTGGACGAACCATCGCCGGAGTCTTATCTTTCTGTGACAGGTTGTTCGGGCGCAATCTATTCTGCCGGTGTTCTCCAGCTAAGTACCTGTTTGGCAGTGTAGTCAGAAATCAACACACATACCATGGATTAGGGAGTTTATGGAAAAATTGATCTAGTCAGGGTTGATTTGCTGGTGGATCAATAAGATAATAATATTCTTTTAAAATTTAAACATAGTCTTCAAGACAAATATTACATAATTCTAATTTTATCAAAATATAATTTGCATCGACTTGCAAATTAGTATCTTCTGCAAAACCACATAAATTTTCTTGTATGATTTTTGCAAACTCTAGTAAGTTGTATCAAGTGTGAAAAAATTTGCCAACAAAATTGTTTTTTGACTTTTTCCAATTTCAGATTTTTTCCACTGGCTTAACCATTAAAACACATCTCCCTGGAGAGTTGCTGCAATATAATTAAGGAATTTTTTCTTTGACCAACTATTTTTATAATTAGTAATAATGATGGACAATGATTGTGCCCAATCATCAATTGCTTGTGGCTGGTCCTTAAATGGAATATGAGACAAGTCTAAATAAGTACCATTTTGAGCTATTAGATACTTATGATTATTATTTTTTTTAGATATTATTGGCCCAGGTGTAGGATTGGAGGTACTTCCAGTGTTAGTATCATTTTGAACTTTATTTGTTTGGATAAAATCAAAATTTTCTCCATCTCCCCATGTGCCAAATAATTCGGGATTAATTGGCTCTTCTGCCTTTCTTTTACCCTTATTTATTTCTATTGAAACATCTTGATCTAACGTTTCTTCAGATGAGGATGATTGGCTATCATCATCATTAGTTGACATGTTAATATCATAATTAAAGTGCTGTAAAAGGGTTTCATGTTCTAGATAAGTTTTTCTTATTTAATCTAGTAGCCTATTTCTTTCATCAATACTTAAATCTGGATTTTTATATAATTTTCTCCAATAATCTAATATTTCAACAATATTTTCATATTCAGTCTTATTATAGGTATTCGTTTGAAGTATCATAATATCTTCTGTACGATAAAATAGTCTAGGAATGGAGTTATCTCCTAAACTATTCATTCCATCATTATTTATGAAGGATATAGTTTCTAATTTTGTCATCAAATTGTTTATTTGGGTTTTTGCTTCTTTGTTTAAGTCAATATTTATTATAGAACATAAATTGTCTATTTTAAATTCTATAAACTCAACTTTGGTTTCTAGATAATTTTGATTTATTTTTTGATTTTTATCTAATTTAGAAAACCAATAACACATAATATCCGGAATATTATTTAAATTAGAACACACACTATTTATATTTGCAGATTCTTTAGTAATATGCAAACTATAGTCATATTTATTATTAACATTATTTTTTGTATTTTCAAAGCATATTATATCTTCAGGGTTAATTGTCATTATAGATTGTTATTGGCATCTAATACCCTCCTAGTGTATTTATCTAGTTTCTAAAATCTCTCTTTATGATCTTAAAAACTTAAAAATGCCTAATTAAGGCCAATAGTCAAAAGATCTTAATGAGTATATGGACTTTGATAAACACTGAGCATATAGGTTTTACAACAACTATAAATGAAACAAATAATTATGAAGATATTAAATACGAAGGATACACAATTAAAGAGTAAATTTCACGAATAATAGTTTCTATTTTTTTTTATATCATTAAACACACCATACACACTTATATATATCAAAATTTATACATAGATAGGGATACTTACATGGCTTGATCTTGCTTTCAAAAACTCTTCACTAAGCTCTGATACCAATTACAAAGAAAAGGAAAGGAACTTTCTACTATTATTTTTGTTGTGGAGTTATGGAATTAAGAGAAGTTAGAGACGAAGTAGGCAACAAAAGGATAAAGAGAATTTACATTGTTTATTATGTTGGCTTGAAAGCCAATTTATAGAATACATCTTACATATACAAACAAAACCATAAAGTCATCTTATTTTATCCTAACATTATGACATTATAGAAAATTAGCATACCAATACGGTCAAAATTTTGCACCTTTCTACCAAAATCTATAAGCCTAGACATAGGCTTGGAGAAAATTTCTACAAAAAAAAAAAAATAAGAGAACAAAAAAGTCTTGAGAAAAATAAATAAAAACCTACCATTATTGGCCATATTCTGACAAACTTCTTGTATTTATTTTTTGTAGAAAATTTGTCCAAGCCCAATAATGGTAGGTTTTCACTTATTTTTCTCAAGACTTTTTTGTTCATGTATTTATTTTTTGTAGAAATTTTGTCCAAGCCTATGTCTAGGCTTATAGACTTTGGTAGAGAGTAGCAAAATTTTAAACGTATTGATATGCTAATTTTCTATATCGTCATAATGTTAGGATAGACTATGATGACTTTATGGTTTTGTTTGTATATGTAAGATGTATTCTATAAATTAGTTTTCAAGCTAACATAATAAACAATGTAAATTCTTTCCATCATTTTGTTACTTATTTCGTCTCTAACTTCTCTTAACTCCATAACTCCACAAAAAAAATAATAGTAGAAGTTGATGACAAATAAGATCTTGAGGATTATAATTAATGACAATAAGAGATTGGAGAAATAAAGGTTGGTAGTTCTAAGCAAATTTGTATTTGTTAAAGTTGAATATCTCAATTTCATATGTGAAATTTATTGTGAAACTAATTTGTATCCATGTCAATGACGTAAATCGTTTATTTTATGTGATAAGTTGAGAGGAACATGTATTTAAAAAATTAGGTTGATTAAATATAAATAATCACATAATCAAATTACATATATATTATAATAAATAGATGGCTTATTTTTAAAATATATATAGATCGTATAGATAAAAATAATCTAATAGTATGATAATAATATTGGATCAACTTGATTTTTTATATTGATAATTTTTTTAATTGTATAACATGAACTTAAATTACCAAAGTTAGTCCGAGTTAGTCTAAGGATTTGTTTAGCATTAGCTAATATAGTTAACTTTTTTGTGTTGGGACTTTTTTAGTGTCGTTTGGTTTTTATTTTGGGGCTTTTTTCACTTAACCTCGTTTGGTTTTTATTTTGAGATTTTTTTAACTTTTGTAAAAAAAAAAATATAATGATTATAAATAAAAAATAATATTTTATTTTATTAACTTTTATAATTAATTTTGTCTTTTTGTGATTATTTAACCCCAAAAAGAATGCCAAACCATGGGTCAATTTATTGTGAAACTAAAATCTCCAACTTTAGCAAATCTGACCACGTTCTAAGCATGATTTTTAGACGGTTTGAATCATAAATTTGAGTAAGAATTTGAAAAAGAAAAAGAAAAATGTAGGCAAATGTAATTGAAATAAGTTGAGAAAGAAAAATCAATTTTCTATTCCTTTCCAAATTTCTATCTAAATTAATGTTCTAAACACAACGTTCCAAAATAGTTCCCACCCAAATAGCACCAGTTTTGTATTCAGCAAGTGACGATGCCAGGAAAACAATGAGGAATAAATAAAGATTGTTTTTAAGTTTCAAATCTCTCCTGATTTCTGAATATCTGGATAATAAATAGATGTCAAGACAATTAAGAAAGCTGATAGAACAGCTGAAATGAAGGTGACAAAAGAGACAACTTCAGAGTGTTCTTTAATTCCACAAGGAATTTCCCACACCACAGCAGTTTGGGATTCATCACTGGTACCAGTCGGCATAAATAAACAACCTTGATCATGTGATTTCCCTTCAATGTTGCAGCGTATGAATATGTCAGGTTTGCCAAATTCAACTCTTGAAAAGCGATGTTCACCTAAAGGCTGCAAAAGGCATGAGGTTTATTAGCAATCTTACAAGGATGCACAAACAAGTGTATTCATCAGCATCACCAACAAAAACAGCTCACAATTGCCATATTGAAAAACTATATGTTTCATCGGTTCAGTTAGGAGTGTTGACCGCAGGCGTTTACTTGGTGTTGAATTTAAAGAATCCCAAATCCAAGACCAAGAGGACAAGGCTAAATATTAATAGAACACTCCATGAGCTCAAAAAATGATTTATGCAAAAAACTTAACTAATTGCTCCAAGCACACAACATGTTCTCCAGAAATAATGTCCTCCGAAGTCAAGATTCAAATGTTACATTCCAAAATTCTTTTTCACTTACCGGATAACGTGCGTGTAATGGAAGCTGAATGTTGATTTCCAGTCCATTGTAATGTCCTGCTAATATATTATGACCAACATCCATGTGAACCTCAACAACAGACCGATTTGAAACTACACAAGGCAACTCCAAATTTGTGTCACCAAAAACAGCTGCGTCTGTAAAAACTGCATCAAAATAGAACAATCTCATAAACCACAGAAATGAACTGTAATTATAACCTTGTTTTTAGTAAAACAATAGTAGTTTACCTCCCCGCTCAAGAAGATGTTGGAGCTCAAATGGATCTGCAAAAATGCCAGAGGGCAGTCTTTCTACAAGTATGATCTTGCACAAGTGTCTAGGTGGCTCAGTTGTGGACTCAGGCTGGATGCTGAGTCTAATGGATGAAGACAGGTGACGGTGAGAACCTTCACCAATTAGATGCCGTTGCGTAACTGACATCCTCAGCACAAGACTGAGTTTATCTTGCAGCTCTCCACATAAGCCAAGGGGTATCTCATTTGTCATGAAATTTTGGAAATCGAAACCGAGCAAGCTATCATGTTTCTCAAAATAAGGTTCTGTAATATATTTCTCTAAACAAGGAAAATCACTTGTAGTTTGAGTTTTGACATCAGAATTTGAGTTACACTTGCCCCGCTGAAAGTTGAGAAATAGACACAGTAGACAAAAGTTTAAGTTAGCTACAAATAGGATGGTCCAAGTAAAGCAACAAAACACCTAAAACAATGTGATATAGGACCATTTTGTATTTCTGAGAACGCTTCTCCGTCTAAATGATAGGTAAAGCATACAGAATAATGTGGAAGTCCATTCAGCATCACAATGACGACTCTAATGGTTGCCCCATATTCATATAAAGCATACAGAATAATGTGGGAGTCCATTCAGCATCACAATGATCTAATGGTTGCCCTATATTCATATCAATGTTACTAAACAATCGAAGACTAGGCAACTATGCTGGGTAGAGAACGTATCAGCCGGGCAATTGCTGCGAAAGGTTTGGTTGCGCATGTATGGTGTTTTTATAGCTCAAGTGCGTAATTTTCTCTACTTTCACATATCAAAAATCTTAATTGGTTCAAACAATCTCCCCCTTTCCATATAATTTCCTTTTTTTTTAATTGAAAAAATACCTCTTTTTCCCACTTTACAATCCTGATATTTCTCTAAAATTGAAATTCAACGCTTTGTTATGCATTTCACAGTGGATGTAGTCATGGTCAGAGCAAGTAGAGGGTTTCAAAGCATTATAATATGCTTCGAACCATTAAATGAGAGCAATATCACGATGGGACAGTTTGCCATAAGCTGTCACGAGGTTGGTGGATCCATGAATAACTGATTCTATAGTAAACTGAAGTAGTTATCAGATGGTACCAGTTCTAATTTCTTACCTAATGATCCAGAAAGTTCCCCTAAAAACTGAAATATTTTCTTCATTTTGCTCTTTTATAATTTTTCTCTTTAAACTTGGTATCAAGGGCAAAGATGTGAATGTAATTACAGAGAATTTTACTATTCATTAGAGATAGTTGGGCTGCATAGGAAGAAGTATCTTGAACAATAACATTATAATACCAGAGCAATAGCAAATAGCAACAGATTTTACAAGAAACCTCCATTATAATACCAGAGCAATAGCAAATAGCAACAGATTTTACAAGAAACCTCCATCATTGATTTCTTTTTTCCTTTTTAAATAACATTTCATAAAATAGAAGCAAGAAGCACCGCGTTTCACTAACCTCAGTTGATGCTAAAAAAGTATGCATGCAAGAGCCAATGCCTGCAAGGAGTGTCAGCTGGATTCCCACTAGCAGGAAAATTTGCAACTGAACAAAATTTTGAACTTCCATATAGTACCTGAAAGAAGGGGGGAAAACAAAAGAGGTGGTGGTTACATGTTTCTGAAATTACTGTTAGGCTGTTAGCAAAGCTCTCTACTGCCCTAATTGATTTCTTTCCAATATTATACTGTCAACTACTTCATTAAACTTATCTATTCCTGGCTGAGAGCACACTGAAAACCATCCAACTTTCTGTAAAGTTGTGCAAAATTCTTTTGATACTATCAAAAGTTGGGTGGAATGTTCTGTATGGTTAGGAGTTAAGCCTCTTATTCAGAAGGCAGTTTTAATGTTTATGTTGTTGATTTCTAAGCTTTCCACGTCTAGGCAAACTAAAAGAGATGGCTAGCTTTGAATCTTAAAGGTTGTGAATAAGCCCATAGAGGCCTCCATAATCGATGTACCATGACTCAAAGCACTTATGGAAACAGGAAATTGATGAAGACCAAATACAGAAACAAAAACTTTGAATCTCTATTTGGAGATAAGGTTTGTGTCCAAAAATTTTAATATTTTGAAGACCACTCCAAGAATATATAAAGATATACTTCGTAATGTTTTTTAAATGATCAATTTAAATATACAAAATATGTTAAAACTAAGTAGAAATGCAGTTTAATAGATATTCTTTCAGTATATGTCCAAGTATTAATGGTATCACTGTCTAGGAGTATTTTAATACATTCTAATTGTGTAATCTATACAAGCCTATCTGTATAATACCCTGTTCTAGAGCACGTGGTGTACTATATAACTATTCAATTTTTGCATACTGAAATGATCCATGTTTGAGGTACTAAATTGGTCAATTCCTAACTTAAAAATGTCACAAATGATCCTTCATTTCATTCAACAAAGCTTTAAATCTCAACCACATGGGATTGGCACTCCAATGTCTTTTCTTTTTTTCTTTTCTCAATACAAATGAGGAATAGGCCTCAAAATGTGTGATTTTTGCCAATATTCTGTTATTAGTAGAGAAACCCCCCCTCATAAGTTTCTGTTGTTTCTGCGCTTCTACTAGATCCACCTCCTTAAAAGTCACTCAAAATTTCTAGTGTTCTACATGAATTAATAATTTATTACTGTCATCAAATTCTACTTCACTTTCAACATAAATTGTAAAAAAGTTGATGTCTACTAGACAATTATATATACTTAAAATGCAAGCATTACAAGTATTACAAGTATTACAAGATAGCAGAGATATAAGGTCTAGTCATTACCTAGTTACTTGCAGCAGTTAATCCAGTATTCACTAAGGGATATGAAGGTTGATCACCCAATAGATGTCACCTAGTTCACAATAATAATAGAACAATGAGGCTTTCTTAGTGATGTGTCCATTACATCATACTGCATTATACTTATTTGCTCCATTTAAGTTTTCGAAACCTTCTCAACATTCCTTCTATTCTTCATTGAGCTCTACAATGGGGTCGATTCTCATCTAGCTGCCTGCAGCATTTAGAATCAAATAATAAACATCATGTCCACTAAAACTGAAAAACTAAAAAAGAAAAAAAAAATAGAGAAGAATTTGCAGTGCAGTAAATGCTGAGAAAGATTTGATCATCAGAATGAGGAACTGCCTAAAAAAACATTATCTTATAAAGTTCATCAAATCAATCTCTAGACAAACTGGTGTCCATCATTGCATATAAGAAAAAACTCATTTAATCTGCAAGTTAATCAAAGAAATTTCTAATATCATTTAGCAAAAATGGCTCCAATGGAAAAAGGGTTATGTTAGTTCCATGGGTGGAAGAGTGAGAAGCAAATGTACAATTATGTCAAACCAATTACACTATCTAATACGTTCGAGTGTGTTTTACATGTGCTCGTGTATCTCTATTTAGCATTGAATAACCTGAGGGGTGGTTTAAAAATGAGAAAAACCCACAACAGTGAAAATCTAGGTCATCAATAAAGCATTAATCTTGACTTCACATTAACATTTCTATTGAGGAATAACAACCAAATATTACAATTTCAATTGAATTTTCTCTTGAACTTCATTTGGGATTTTTTGAGTTTATACATGAATTGAACATGAACTTATTTGAGAAGTCACTGTAATCCTCCCTCTGCCGTAACCTCTCGTCCCACCCATCTCCTCCTCCTTCTTCTTCTTCTTTTCTATCTCTAGAAACTGCCAAACCCACTCCCACCACCGTAATCCTCCCTCTACAGTGATCTTTCTCAACCCATCAGAGAGGAGTTTCTCGTCGAAGGCAACTGCAGTGGTGAAGCTTCGATTCGAAGCTTGAAATCCTAGATTGGAGCTTCAAATCTAGTTTGCACAATCGGACTCTTGCAAACCCTAGATCTAGATCTGAAAATCGTACGATTTTCTCTCTCTCTCTCTCTCTGCGATGGAGAAAAATAGGCAATGGCAGAGGTGGGGGGCTGGGTTGTTTGCTGGTGGGGGAGGGATGAGGGTTTGCAGAGAGGAAAGTTATCGCTGGCGAGGTAGAAAAGTTATGGGTGTTACGATAGTGGTTAGGTTTCAATGACGGTGGCCGGGAATGCAAGTAGACGACGGAGGCTGGTGATAGGTGGTGGTGCCCAAAAGAGTCTAGGGTTAGAATTATGTCCAAAATGGTAATTTGATAAAGGGATATAAGTGTAATAAAAAAAATTATGGAAATGATATGTACTGAGAAGTTTTGTGATGTGTAAATAGAATTACCCTATAATTTGTAAGCACCCTCAGAGCAGCTTCTCCAAAAGAGCTGAAAATAGCTTTTTTAAAGCTATAATCTGATAGTTTAAGTTCTACCAAAAATAAAATATTTTAACTTAAATTAAGTCAAAAACTGAAATAAGCAGCTTATAAGTTTTACCAGGCCCACTATTTGCAGCACAAGAATGTCGAAACAAAAACAACAAAACACAACAGAACAGAACCCTAAGTTACGCATACTCAATTCACAAACTTAGTTCAGCATTTCCAAACAAATACACACATATATATATAGCACATCACAATAAAATTTCAGAGAGAGAGAGAGACAGAGAGAGACCTTTAATCGTTTATGGACACGAGAGAGAGAGAGAGAGGCCTCGAGGTCCTTGAGTATCTCCTAATGCATGCGATCGATATGGCGTTTGTTCCGAAATCGGACTTAGGGTTTTCTGACGAAGAGATGTAGATGATGCTACAGCGTTCTTGTTCTTGTTAACATTGGAAGTGCAGATTAGGAGTCTCAGAGATTAGATTAGGGATCGAAATCAACAAACCACTGATTCTATGGAGAAAGAAATTAGGGATTCGATCGATCGAGAGCCATTCTTTAAAGAATGAAAAACCGACTATTGAAGTTAAAAGAATGAAAATAAAATAAAATAACTTGCACTCCTTTGGGAGGAAAGATTAGATTGGATTGGATTTGTGACTATTTTAGTTATAAGAAAGACAAAAATAAGTTTTTTAAGTTTAATAAGAAAAAATATTATATTTAATTTATAATTATTTTATTTTTTTTCTTATAAAAATCATAAAGTCTATTCTAAATGAGATTTTTTAGCCTCAAATTAAAATAATTAAAAAGTTAAAAAGCTAACTCAGCTTCCAAACGAATTCTATATGAGTTGAGTTTATTGGGAACAATTAAGGGTTCATTCAGCAATGACTTTTTTAGTTGATTTTTTTTACTTTTTTAGTCTGAGACTTTTTTATTTGTTTGGTTTTCTTATTTGGTTTTTTTTGACTTTTTTGCATTGGAAATGATGTTCTCAAAGTGAAATGACAAAATTGTCCTCTACTTGGAAATGATACTTTTTTTACTTTTTATTTGTATATGGGTTAGTTTGGTAATTTTGCATTCCAACTCAAGTGTTTTGGCATTTTATGATTTTATAATTTTTTTTTTGTCCATATGTAATTATTTAGCCCCACAACAAATGCCAAACCGGGGCTAAAATTGTAAATAAAAAGTCATTAACCTTTTTGCAATGGGTGATTCTACTTGCACCACAAAACTATCTCCTTACACCCTTAAAATTTGGATTTTTATTTTTTTACAATTTTTATAATACCATTCTTACCCTCATCCCTCCCCTTCACTCTTCTCCTTACACTCAAACCATCCAAACCTTAATTTCTTCATCTCCACTGGATGCAGCATTGTCGTTGTCTGCAACCGCCACCGTCGCCGACTACCATGTAAGCCCTCTCGTCGCTATCGCCCTCCATCAGCAACCCAACCCAACCCCACCGTCATCATGACCCTGTTCGCCATCTCCATTGTCACAACCCAACCCCACCTCTCACCGCTCCATCGTGAATAAAACCATCGCCTCATCGCTCAAAGTCCTATCCTCACTTTCGCCATTGTGACCCAGCCTGTCGCCCTTTTCCATCGTTGATAAAGCATGAAGAGAGAGAGAGAGATGTGTGTTAAGGGCTCGGCTCAGCTCGTTTAGTAAACGAGCCGAGCTCGAGCTCAATAAACGAGCTCGATAAGTAAAGGAGCCGAGCTCGAGCTCAGCAAAGCTCGGCTCGGCTCGGTTCGTTTGCAGCCCTACACACATCATTCTATTAGCCAATTTGATCCCGCTCATGATTTCTCATATCAAAGTTCATTTGCGTAGATCCGTTGATAAGTATTATTAGTTGTATTGTTTATCGGTCCGTGAATTTCTTCAGTTTCCTAATTTTTTGTCAATTCATGTTGTTGACAAGAATGATTTAAACCATTCTATAAAGAAATCATGTTGAATTTGGAACAGTAGACAATTTTATATAAGACCTTATGTTGATAGTGATGATTTTGGATGATTTATGTGTATGTCTCGATTTATTTGTAATAGAGCCTTCATCATTGATTGTTGCTTGTTAGTGGAGTTGAGATTATTCTGTGTATCTTGATAACAAGGGTGATGTTTGTAAGGTGTTGTTTTGCTACTTTGGTGCCTTGGGTAGCAGTCATGGCGGTGGGCCGGTGGAGGTAGTGGTGATGCGGTGGATGTGAAGAAATTAGGGTTTGAAAGGTTTAGGTGTAAGGAGAAGAGTGAATGGTAGGGATGGGGATAGAAATTGTATTATAAAAATTGTAAAAAAAATAAAATAAAGTATTAATTTTTTGAGAGTGTAAGGAGATAATTTTGTAGTGTAAGTAGAATGACTCTTTTGCAATTAAGTAGACTTGTCTCAAAAAAATAAGAATATGACTAAATATATATATTTTTAAATTCCTTAATTTTGTCTTTAAAAATTTAACTCTAAAATCTTAAGTAGTGTTTGGTAGAGTTTTAGAATAATGATTTGATAATAGAGTTGTATTTTGAGTTTGTGAGTTTTAGAATTATGATTTGAATGAGGAAAATTTGTTTGGTTATGAGTTTTGAAGAAAGCTTTAAAAAGAGTTTTGAATTGAGTTTGAAATTTTTTATGTACATATAATATTTGATTCAAAAACTTATAACTCATAACCAAACATACAACCCAAAATTCTATTAAAATCTCATAAAAATTTTAAAAAAAAATTTGAAAATATTTTTTATTTAATATATAAAAATAGCAGGTGCCAAAAAATATATATCTATATATATTGTTCCGGTTAATTGGCCGAACATCTGAGGAGACGTCTAGGGGATGATCGGGTAAACAAGGTCTCAAACGCGGGTATGACAATGATTTTTGAAATTAAAACCAAACGTAACATTCAAACTAAGGAGTAGAAACATGATTTGAAATCGTCATCAAACACGGCCTTAATTTCTGCTTTTCTCACAATTTAGATGATCTTGTTAGTCCATTCTTCAACATGTTGCAATTAATCTTTTTATTCGATAGCCAGGACTTCCTTTTCAAGTTGAATATTGGTTAGTTACTTTCAACTTATGCCCGGCTGTCGAAAAGTTTTTTCTTGAGTTGGTGAAATTATCTTCTAGTTGGATAGAGGTGGACACAAGGGAACAGTGTGAGATGATAGACATGTGAAGAACTATGAAGCAGGGCCGGCCCTGAGACTTAAAGGCCCAACGCAAATTTTGGAAATGGGCCCTCTTACATTGAAAAAAAAAATTTATAGATAAAACGATAAGTTATAATTTTTTTTATTTGTTTGTAGTCAAAAAAAAAATTACTTGCACATATAATCATTAAAATTATAAATAAAAATTTACTTTCATATATTAAGATAGGAAGCAATCATTACAAATAATTTTAAAAAAATAAAAATCTAGTCGTATTACTTTTTTTTTAGCCCCATGTTCAATTGGGCCTATAATATTTGAGTTTTTTTTTTTTTTTTTTTTATCTAAAACACAAAATTATATTTGAAAACCCCTATTTTCAACTCAAATTTGGGGGTCCAAAGAGCAGGCCTCTTTTGCCTGCCCTCAGGGCCGGCCCTGCTCTAAGGGACATACTTCAATACTTGGTGACCACGACCTATGGAAGAAACCTCCCCCAAGTAAAGTTTCAACGAATTTTCAATTCATGAATGTGAAAATCTAGATGATAGACATGTGAAGAGCTCTAAGATTCTTATGTAGTAAACTACATGACTTAAAATTGTGCAACTAACTCACTTTATTTATTTGTATGAAGAAATTCTCAGTTATTTGTTCTTGCGGATTCTGATTTCAGGCAGTCTTTTTCACAAGCATATACAGATGATAACACAAAGCATCATAACAGTGGATCGTCCTTTCTGATTTTGAACGACTAATTCTTTGCCCTGCCAAAATGATTTGGAACTCTTCAGCTGATCGGCAGAGCATTCATAACCTATGAGCTATTTAAGAGCTTCTGCTTCTCTAACCATTTAAAATTTCATTCTCGCCAATTGGTGAGCTTGCTGTTTTAGGGACCGAGGCACCTCCTGATTTCATAAAAGCTTGTAAGGGAAATGCTTTGGATGATTAGATGATTTTATTTAAAAAGAAAAATTAAAATTTCTCAAGTTGGGTTATGTTTCCTGCTCGAGCTTTTTAGTAATTAATCTACTATTTTTTATTCCCTTCTGTGAGATATGTAAGATATCTGAATGAATGTTGTAATTGTTATATCAGTTGGTTACAAGAGTGATGCTTATTTATAGAGAAAGCACCGAAAGGAGAAGACATAATAATGAAAGTGTGTGAGTGGTGTTTGACAGAATAATAAAAGTGTATGAGTGGTGTTTCTTCTTTACAACCGAAAGAAGAAGAGAATCCTATGCCCTATGCTTTCTATGTTTTATCTTATAATATACTATTACATTATACATTATACTATATACATTACATTATATATTAACACCTTCTTTTGCTGAATGCGGTTAATTTGAATTCTAGGGTCTGCAGGGTTCAGTTTGAGTGGATTGGGAGAGACATATTTTCAGCCAAATTTTCAGCCAAACCGCTCTCGGCAGGTTGACTATTTTTTCACCCGCTGCCATCTTGCACAGCCTCCAAACCGGGGGGTTGGGAGAAATATTTTCAGCCGAATCGCTCTTGGCAGGTTGCCTATTTTTTCATCCGCTGCCAACCTACACAGGTGGTTGAAAATTCTAGTAGTTTTGAACCGACAGGTTGGGCGGGTTGACAATTTCCAAAAGAAATTAGCCAAATTTATTTCTTCCCATCTCTCCTCTCTCCTCTCTACTTTCTCGGCACAGAATTAAGAACAGAAATAAATAAAAAATTGCTATGAAATGAAAAGATTCTATTCTTCCTTTTTAAATTCCCTACTTTCAAGATGGTGATTCAACCTTCCAAAGCATAACCAACCAACTCTTCAGTTGCACTACTAGATTCTTTTGTCACAAAAGGGTGGCTAAGAAGCTCTGTTACTGTCCCTCTCATCCTCCAATCCTTCTCTAAACATCTCCTCATAAAACTCCGAAACTCCGGTGACGCCGTCTCGGGCATCTCCATCTTCTCTCCAAAGCAAATGGCACACATCAACGTTGCCCAGTCTGGCTTTTGCCCCGGACTGATCAACGGAAAATAACCCACATGGCATTCCAGCACCACCAGCCCAAGCGACCAAACATCTCCGGCAAACCCATCGGAGTAATGTCCGTTCCACCTCTCTGGGTCCAATCTTTCAGGACTCATGTATGCAGATGTTCCCATAGAGGAGTTGGCCGGTTCGAGCTTCCCTGCCACAACTCGGCTGACCCCGAAATCCGCAATCTTTATCTCTCCTCTGTTGTTTATCAACAAGTTTGACGGTTTTATGTCTCTATGAACTATCTGCATTCCATGCAAATAGTGCAAACCTTCCAGAACACGTCTGCCTATGCCGGAGATTGCTCTCTCAGTCAATCTCCGATGTATGCTCAAGACGTCATGCAGTGATCCTGCTTCCATGTACTCCATGACGAAGCAGAGATCACACCCAACACATTCTGGATCGCCCAACCCATTATCAAAAACTCCATGACACTTCACTACGAACTGTGAGTCAACTCGTTTGAGGATTTCCGCCTCTCTCGCCGCCTGTTGCCGAACTGCAATTGCATCTTCATCGAACTTTAGGACTTTCAACGCGTAGAGCGACGAAGTGTGCCGGTGCCGGACTTTATAGACCGTGCCACCATTGCCATGGCCAAGAACCGCCAATTTCTCGAGGTCAAAGAGAGTGTCAATGCCGGGGGACTCGGTGGATGTTGACGATAAAGGAGACGGTAGCGGGCTCCTATGGCGGAACTCGGCTGCGGTAACAGGTGGCGGCAGGGACAGTTTTAGAGCTTTCTGATGTCTTCTCTCTCTTACCAGTGACATTTACAGTCTCACTCTCAGTCACCATGATCATGATCAGGTGGGGCATCTAAGTATGTATAAATATAGGTTTTGCATGCGTAGCTATTAAAATGATAGAGGTGACAAATGGCGGTGGCAATCCCATAATTCACGGGCTGGTGAGACGATCTTTGGTTGTGAGTTGAGTTAGGGTTTGCCTCTAACCCTATAACTGCCTCGTGTAAATTTAGTTGTCTCTACCAATATTTCATGGTAACTAAACCCCAATTTTAATGGCTATTTGTTAAACATGTGTATAATTGTGAAAAACGGGGTCACCTTAGGTTTCTTTTGTTCATTTATTTTAAGTTACATCTCTATCAAACCACACCATACATCAAAAATTATCTAGCACATTAGAGCATCTCCAACGGTAGTAGGCATTTTACCTATCTGAATATTACTATAAAGTATATATTTTATTTTGCCTATCAACTGTTTTATGTTTTTACTCTAACCATGCTCTTTATTTTAGCTATTTATCCAAATACTATTAATTTTATAGAATGACACGTCAACAACAAAGATGGTGGGAAATGATCCTAATGAATGAATACATTTTGCCTAGCGTTGAAGGCTAGCTACATGTAGCTAGTGAATATGAGTTGAGGCAAAATGCCTAATCATATGCCTAGTGCATTGGAATTGAAAAAAGTGAATCACACTAGGCATTTTAACTAACAAGTATTATATGCCTAGTGCATTGGAGATGCTCATGTTAGTGTGCCATGATATTTTATATATGTGCATGATTTTGTTTTTAAGATCATGTATATTTGTTCATTTACCCTGCCAATGATTCGACACATATATAGTCAATATAGAATTTTCGGAATACATGATTAATTATTCCACTACACGATCAGAGATAAAGAGACAGCAATGGACCAAGCTAAAATTACTTAATTTTTTATGAGCCAAAATAAAATTTGATTTTGGGGATAAAATATTAGTTTCTTAAATAAATACTATAATGAGATTTTCTGAAGTTTATTTTGGGGATAAAATATTAGTTTCTTAAATAAATACTATAATGAGATTTTCTGAAGTTTGTATTTGGTGTAGTTTGTAAGCATTGCCTATCGTTTATTTATTTATATACTTATTTTTAAGTCTTTATCAATGTACATCATGTATATTATAGGGAAAATTAGGTGGTTCTCAAAAATAAAAGAAGTAAAAAAAATTTTAAAAAAGAGAGAAAATTAGGGTGCGAGGCAAAGAGCTCCACAAGAGTAAAATATCAAACTCACAAAAATCTATGATTACGAACAATGCCCGCAACATTTGAAATTCAGATCTCATTGGCAAAACCAAAATAACAATCACTTTCGGTTTTCCAGAAACCATAGAAGATGTAATGTCATGATAGTGATTTATATTTGAGAGATTTTCTCCATAATGACACGACGGGAGAGAAGATCCACACTATACTATACGATGTATATTGTTCAATCAAATTCATTATGAAGGTGATTCACACTATACATTTATATCATGAATTCAAATTCTGAACATTTTTTTAGATGTTCTTTCAAGGTAAGAAGTCTAAGGTTGATCTTTTAGATCTAATAGTCAACCATTGTAACAAGGGGATAAGGGCTTTTAACGGGTTTGCCTTTTTATGGGACTCTCAGGATTCTAATGAAATGCACGTAAACTTCCATATACAGATATTACATAAAAATTAGATAAATAATTTCTAAGTATTTACAGATTAAAGGGTCAAAGAAAGAGCTAAAAAGAAAAACTACAAAATAATAATACAGTAATAAACATATTACTTAGCATCTATCTTAGATAAGGTCCTTTGGTACTACAAAGCCTGGCATTAAAAGAACAACAACAGTACAACTCGTCATAAACCCACAAAAAGCTGCGGCCTTACAAACACCACCATACCGGTTGAGTTCATTTCACTTTTGTCTAATCCAAGAGGAAAAAAATTATTAAGAGAAACCTAAAACCGAGTCTCTCCATATGTTATAAAGAAAAGCCAGGACAACGGGGGACAAAGGGTATAGGTAAAGTTTTGTACAAGGTCAAACCTCTTGGTTGTCTGAAGTAAGAAGCCCCATCTGTTCTGTAAGCTGTTCCACATGTTGAGTTTTGTTCCATCCATTCTCTAGTGGCTTTGCTTCGCTTCCCTCTGTTGGAGCTTCTAGTGAAGTTGAGTCCATCTCTGTCTCCCCAGGTTGTGGGCTAGCTAGGAACTGTTCCCAAAATGGATCACCAATGCCGGGAAGCTTTTGTATCTCATCTTCCAGCAAGGAATCATCCCACTCAAATTCAGGATCAGTAGCAAAATTGTCAATTTCTAAGGGCATTTTCGAGGTTGAATTTATAAATGCAGAACTCTGTGTCTCGGGTCCTATGTAGCTTTCTCCACTTACGTCGACATTGCTTTCTGACATCATTTCTTGTAATGGAGAGAGCTCGGGCATAACTAAATCTGCGTGTGCTTGTGCTCCAACCAGCGGGTTCATGGTTGGAAAGGGAGTCGTAATCATTTCAGAGTTTGCACAGAGAGAAGAGGACTGAATCTCAGATTTGGCACCTGAAATCCCAGAAGTCACTGGCAAATAAGACTGCCCGGAAGATGGTGAGACCTCCTGAAGAGTCAATCCTGAAGTAGGAGTCGAAGAACTCCCACGATCTAACGTGTTGGGTAATGAAACGTCACCAATCAAGAAAGCATCGGAATCATTGTTGAAGTTTTCCAGCCGCATCGGAGCATCCAGTTTAACGATCTGCCTGAGCATTGCTTTTGCCGCTTCGTTCATCATTGGCTGATACTTAACAATTTGTCCATCAATGGGGCCTACAGAATGATCATCTGAAATGCCGTCCTGCTTAAGCCTCCTCTTTTTGTTGCCTTCGGATATGCGCCTGTTGCTTTCGTTTTGCTGCTGCTGCACAAACTGTGCCAAAAAGCCTGGGCTATGCACAGCCTTAGCCAGGAACGACATCATCTGTTGTTGCCGTTGCTCCATCCCCTGAAGCCGTTGCACCATGGCTTGCAACTGATTATCGGTGGATTGTTGCTGCTGCCTCAGCCTCACAAGCTCCTGCATAAGCACATTCTTGTCCCGTTTTAGCCTCTCGACCTCTTCCTCGAGCCCGAATTTCCCCACCTCAACACACGCCGCAATGGATGCACTCTGTCCATGTGGTTGCTGCTGTTGTTGGTTATTATTTCCATGGGCAGGTTTTCGCCGACTAATACTTTTAAGGAGGTGCTTTTGACCTCTGAGAAATCCCTCATTTGCAAACTCCCAGCGGTCTGGGTCAACCTTCCTGAAACCCTGCTCGTCCACAGTGGTCCAAAAATTAAAAAAGAAAAAAGAAAATAAAGGCAAAATAAATAAAACTTAATCAGCAAAATTTTAGGCATATGGAATAGCTGCCCCCCATTGCGAAATAAAAGGGAGCACATCAATTTTTTATTGTTAGGAAAGGGTGGAGGATCAATGTTACACAAATACAGAAAATGTGGACTGTTCCATTAAAAAATCTGAATTTTGTTCACTTATGCTGTATTTGGATCATGGATCAGGAATTTGTGAAAGGAGGAAAAGAGAAGGGGGAAAGTGACCAAAAAATCTGGTCTGAAGATTAAGGCAAGGAATCTTTGTTTAAAAAGCCAAAGTTGTGACACCTGATTCTTGTTGGAAGTGATTAAAACTCTGTTTGGATCTTGGATTTGAGTAGGGATTTGTGAAAGGAAAGAAAAAGGGAAGAAAAAAGTGATTTCCAACCTCAGTTATTTAACTGTTTACGAGCTATTTAAAGTATCTAACCAATTGCCTCAGCACCATACAAATTTTATTTTATTTTGAAAAAAAAAAAAAAAGCCAATCTCAAAGATTAGGGTGCCTAGCTTGATATTCTCAGTGTGGAATGCAACGCAGATCACATCCACATTTAGTGGCACCACTAAATGTACTAAGCCATGTGTACATGTGCACACACAACAACAAAGAGCATTCAGGCCCATTATCCATTATTATTATTATCAGGGTTAATTAGACCTCCCTATGATTTGGCCTGAAAACACATCACTTTCTTATAGTTTAGAAATATACACCTAACCCCCTTGTAATTTGGAGTAAAGTGTAGAAGTAACGGAATCTATACAAAAACTACGTGCGTGTAACACGCACTGAATTGAGTGCGTGAGGCAGACATTGGCCTCAAATGGATTGTTAAATGACACTTTTACCCCCTCTGTTTTTTTTTCTCATTGTTTTCTTCCCCACCCGGCTGATCCACTCTATCCTTCTCTTCTGTTTTTCTTGCCACTACCTATCTCCTCCCTCTTATTTTCCTTTTCTTTTTACCATGATTGTTGGATATATGTATGTATCTTCTTTTTTCTTTTGTTTTTTTGGCTAGCAGGATATATGTATGTATTTATGTAGGTGGGTTGTGTGGGTCTTCTTGCTTAGTTTGGCTGGGACAGCCATGGCTGTTTCTAAGCACAAAAAAAAGGGGGCAACTGGTGGTAATGCTGTCAAAGAAGAAAAAATTGATGGGTAGTTTCAATGATACTTATATGATATGATACATATATATAGATGCATATTAATTGATATATATAACACATATAAATATATACATAGGAGTATAGATATATGTGTGGTTTTAATTTGGAAAACATTTTGATTATGATGTGCAAAATGGAGGTAGTGGATATGTTCATTGAAAATGAAAATTTATTTTTGGGTTGATTCCTTTACCTACCAGAAGTATCGGCCATAAGCAACGGGTGGAGAAGGAGAAAAGAAGGAAATGAAGGAAAGAAAAAGGCAAAAGAAAAGGAAAGAAAGTAAAACTTGGGTCCTAGTTATGATGGCATAGAAAAGAAAATTTGAGCAAAAATTAAGGGTAGTATGGACATTTTATAAATATAGTTGACAGAATTGGTCATTTCACTTGACTCCAAATTACAAGGGGGTTAAGTGTACATTTTTAAACTATAAGGAGGTAATAAACTACAGGGAGGTAAAATGTAATTAACCCTTCTTATTATTTTGACAAGTAATAAGATTCATTAAAATGGCATTAAGGGAATGCAACATGAGCACAAAATGAAGGAAAACAAACTAAGTATAAAATCTAAGAAATGGTTAAGAGAGGGTTGATGATTCCCCATTCCCAATTATAAGAAAAATCTAACTCAAATACTCTCAAGCCTAAATAAACGAAACTCAATACCCTCAAAAGGCCTTCAATTCCACTACCCCCAAATGATCCACATACAGGGAAATCAAAAGTCACATCTACTTGCTCCTAATATCAACATATGAAGAAGCTCCCCATCCACTAATATCAACTTGCGTTGTCGCAAATGTCTATTTGTGAACTTCCTGTCAAAATTTTATCCCATCGTCAATTAAATCTAAGCCAAGTTGGCTTCCCACAGTAGGAAAACAAAGTAATCCCACATAAACTGCCATAGTGAAGTTAAGAAACAACCAAAAACTGGATTTCCTCAGCTAATGTTTTATTCTCTCTACTAGTGCTGGTGCAAATGATACTACATTGATGTAGCCTTTAGGCCTCGTTTGACATGCGAGTGTTTTGGCCTAAAAGCTAAAAAGCACTAAAAAAATCAAAAAACCAAAAAACCTATACCAAAAAGTCAAAGATTCCATTCTCTCTACTTTTTGCACACTTTTTCGTAAAAAATTTAAAAGTCATTCCAAATATACTAGTTTTTTTTACCTCATATTTTAGCCAAAAAAGTCAAAAAGTTACTAAAATAATATGTTCCCAAACGAGACCTTAGTTAGTTCTAAATTGATAATTTTACAGCAATGCAATTCTCAACCAATTGCCAGAATTTTCATGATACCTAAGATAGCCACAAAAAAAAAATTCAGTTCTTGTATGTAATCACAATTTTAATGAATCCCCATAGCCAATTCTTTTTTATTCACCATTCCATCTTGGGATGTCAAAAGAAAATGGTTGTCCACTTTAAAAAGTCAAGGTAATTAAAATATAATCTTTTTTAAACAAGTGTGAATGTATTTAATATAGTTTAGAAGGATAGTTGGGTGTGATCGCATGTTATGCTTCTCTCCTTGAAAAGTTGCACTGTCGATGGTGGGAAAATAAAATGGGACAGAGGGAGTACTGATTCTTATGGCAGCTATCTTAGCCTTTAAAAGCATATCTCTTATCATCCAAATGTATGCTGTCATCATGTCAAGTTTGTCAACTAACTTTTCAGCTCTCATGAAACAACACATTAAAGGCTAAATTTCACTGCAGTGTTGGCTTCTCAAAAAGCCAAATATCGACAATAAAAAAAATTTCTCACAACATGAGCCAGGTGTCATATCTGCCTAATCTCCAAAATCTATAACATATTTGGCAAAATTGTCCACCGCTTCTCCTTACCCTGTGAGATGTATCTGTGAATGAGTAAACCCAAAAACTTTTTAATCTCAACGAGCCAAAACCCCAACATCACGACCACATAATAGTTCTGGCATAGATGAGTTTCACTACCTACATAAATGCAGTCCAAGACTCTTAAGAGACTCAAAAAATAACTTGTCCACTTTTAAGAGCATACCAGCCAAATTAGGAAAATATAAATCACTACAAAGCAAACACGATTTCTGTTATAAGTCAGCTCCCAAGGAGAAATCAAACTCATCTCCACAATACAGTGAAAAGCAGTATAACATCTACATATACAAAAAGATCAAAGGAAGCATGCATCCAATTTCTAAGAATGACTAAAAGAGGGATGCATTAAAATTTAAGAGAAATGCAACCAGAAAAGACCGACTCATGATCCATTTCTGAATAGGCATCTGAATTAAAGCAATATTTTCTTTTCTTATTAGAATTAAAACAATCATCCAAAAAAAAATATCAAATCCCCTTGAATATAATCATCACTGACACCGCATTACCCTATACCAACACCCATTCACGAGCTTACTAATACAGCAAAAATTAAAAGGTAGACACTAGGCAAGATTGGGGAAAAAGATAATCAGCTTTTAGTATCACAAATAATGCAAGTCAACCAAAAAAGGCACAATGAGTAAAGTATATGATCAACCTTGATCAACCTTGCATAAAATAAAATACAAAAACGTAAAATATAAAAATTTTCTTGTATCACATAACAATATATAAAACTTTTTTCTACTCTCATCCCCTACAGCTGGTCTCATGTATTTATTTACTCCTAGAGTACACTTTAGTTTAGCACCTGTCATCCTCTATTTTTTTCAACAATTTAGGTCTTCCCCTTCTAACATTTTTATTTACAATGATCATATTACTGTTCCTTACTGTTGCATCCACTAGAATGACCAAACCATTATCTATTCTCTCTCAACTTATCTTCATTATTGTTACTCCTTCACTACACAAATGTATTCCTTTCTAATTCTATCTTTCCCTGTAACAACCCTCACCTTACTCTTGTCATACCTGCATACATTCTTGCATGATCTTGCTTTGTTATGTTAATTTGAAGGTTTTGTCTTGCCTTGATTTGCTTACAGTTGCTTGCGTGATTTTGTTCTTTGCTTAGTGTGTGTGTGTGGCCGAGGTCGCCTTGAGCTTAGTTCGCCTTTGAACCTTTGCACTTAGAACTGTTTTGAGACCTTGGTCGACCCCCACCTACACCTCGGGCGTTTATTGCCGAGATGTTTCGCATTCAGTGAACCTTGTCCGCAGGCAGGTATGGCCTAGGCCGAGATGTGGCACACCCCGGCCAAGGTGTGGCACAGCTTAGTCAAGTGTCGTCCTCCCTAACCGATGTTTTGTTATCCTGTTGCCGGATCCTTGATTTGAGCCGATGTCAATTCTTGCCGATGTGTTTTACCGAGCTTGCTGCATACGCTTTGTCAGAGACTTGTCTTATCAATCAATCACCTTTTGAGCTAAACCAACCCGATAGGGCCACGTGTCCGAGCTGATTGTTAAGACAGCCGGCAGACCTTGAAACACATCATTTTCTTGCCTCAAATCTTTACCCTTAGAGAGAGAAGCTCTAGAGAGAAGGAAGAGAAGTTCTTGAGTGAGAGTAAGTCTTCCAAGCTTGATCTTCGTGGTTTGAACCGTTGGATTCGAATTTTGAGGTTAGAATCTTGATCTACTATGGTTGTTGTTGATGATCATCTAGCTGCATTGCATGATCGAATCTGTTTTGCATGCCATGCACCGTTTTGAAGTTGGGTTTGAAAAGAGAAAATGATTTTTCATGTGTTCTTGAAGAAAGTCTCATTTTGATCCAAAAGTTTGGAACGAAAATCATGTTTTTGTGTTCGTTCTTGCATGACCTTCTTGTATGGGTACCCAGGTCCATGTTTTGAACTCATGGCACGAAATCTCAGATTTTGTAACAAGTTTTGATCTTGCATTCATCTTTCTCACGATCATATTCTTCATACTCTTCATGATATTCAAAGGGAAACCCAGGTTTTCCCGACTTTGCTTTTGATTGAGGCCAACGGGACCACACCTCGCCAAGGATGTGTGGGACCTCGGCAAAGACCTGGTTGGTACCCAGTATGTTTCCGTGAGACGGGAGCAGTGTTTAAACTCCCAGCATGTTTTGCTTTGTTATTTACTTGGATCTGTTAAGAATGCCGAAATCATTCGTATATAGGTATAGCTTGTTTTGAGAATGTGAATTGCCATGTGATTGTAGGACCTTGATATTTGCTTTGAGTCTACACCTGAAGAACTAGGTGAGTGGTATTATTGATAAAGCTATGTTATACTTGCTTTGATAAATCTGGCTTGCCTTGTTTTGACAAAAGTGTTTTGTTAAGCATGAATGAATAGCTCTTGTTTTGATATGACAAGTATAATCCTTGTTTTGATGCCATCTTTGAAAAGGATACGGTCCTCTCTTGGAAAGTCCCTTGTACTGAAGGACTCTAAACTTTCGCAGTACTAAGCATAAAAGGATACGGTTCTTGTTAAATCGGGCTACGGGCCTAAGTAACACAAGTCCCTTGTGCTGGAGGACTCTAAACTTTCGCAGTACTAAGTGTAAAAGGATACGGTCCTCTCTTGGAAAGTCCCTTGTACTGAAGGACTCTAAACTTTCGCAGTACTAAGCACAAAAGGATACGGTCCTCTCTTGGAAAGTCCCTTGTACTGAAGGACTCTAAACTTTCGCAGTACTAAGCACAAAAGGATACGGTCCTCTCTTGGAAAGTCCCTTGTACTGAAGGACTCTAAACTTTCGCAGTACTAAGTATAAAAGGATACGGTCCTTGTTAAATCGGGCTACGGGCCTAAGTAACACAAGTCCCTTGTGCTGGAGGACTCTAAACTTTCGCAGTACTAAGTATAAAAGGATACGGTCCTTGTTAAATCGGGCTACGGGCCAAAATTCACTGAGTATTTGTACTCACCCCTCTATATATATGTAGGTGATGAGCAGGACGGCGTCGACGCCTAGATCGTTTTGGATGCTTGTTTTGGATTCGTGCTTATGTCGGCTTTGCCTTTGTATTTACGTCGGCGATGCCCTTCATTGCATGTCGACAAATCTTGAAAATCATGCTTCTTGACTTGTATTTTATTGTATTTTGTATATGTCGGCTCGAGAAGCCTTTTGATCAAGATGTAACACATATTTTGCTTTGTTGTACTCAAGTTGTAAGATGTATGACATTTCATTTAATCTATACACAGCTCTTATGGACCACTTGTATTTGATTTATTGCTTCCGCATTTGTGAGCCCCCTATATCCATACTCTGATTGTGTTAAGTTTTTGGAAGTTGGCCTTCGGTAATTACGGATTACTGGCCATCACGGCACCAAACTACTAGGGGCGGTTTGGGGTCGTGACATTCCCAGTCTAATCTCACTTCTGTCTTTGCATCCTCATGTCAGCTACTCATTTTATTAATGTATAGTTTCTTAGTTGCCAAACATTCTATCTATTGCCATTATCCTACCTACATTCATAAATTAACCAAATGAATTCCTATTCTCACAAAAGGCACCTCTTCGTAGCTTTGGTCTACTCACTATCTGTCAAATGAAAAGGATTCAAAGTGATGAATGACCAAGGAAGTAATGGGAATTTATAGCTATGATCTCCCTCCCATCGATCAATGCTTTTCAAACTACCAACCTTCTCAAATCTCTCAATCACCAGGTCAAGACCAATCCTCTTAAACCTCTTAAATAGACAACTGGGATAAATTCTCATTAATATGAAGTAAGAACCAGCTCTACACCATTGTTGCTATTTCTTTTATTTTATTTTATTTTTATTTTTAAGAAATGCGAAAGCACCAGGCTTCTAAGTAACGCAAACCACATCCTGTTTTAATCAAGTCTGCCAAATAGTTGTTAACATTATAGCATTATAGTAAGAACTGTTTCAGAACAAGTTACAAGATTTAAAAATACTCAAAAAAGTGACAATTATAAAAGCATTTCCATATGCAATGAAAACCAGATCCTAACTTATGGAAAATGTACATAAAGATGAGCTAAGCGAGAAATTTGTTTTCCCAACTCCCTGCAAATAAAAACACTAAGATTCAAACCTTTAATGTTTCCTTCATTTATCCCGCCTTTTCTATTAACCCAGCTCTAATTCCCCTAAAATTATGTGATTATAAGCCTTCCCATTTGCAAATTAATTAGTTTCTACACAGTGAACTACATTCCAACCCTAATTCACCCTCAATCACATCCCTATCAATCTTCCCATTCACAATTCAACAACACACCATGCAACTACTAATTAACAATAAATCAAGTAAAACAATTTCAAAAAACTAAAAGATCATAGAAAGAAATCCATACATAAGTGTTCAATTGCCGAACAAAGCTCGAGAAGTTGTTGTGCTTGAAGAACTTAGGCAAGAGGTCCCTAGCAAACTCCGGAGGGTCCCAAACGACGAAGCTATTGTTGGTGGCGCTCCAAGAGACGATTTTATCGGTGGAGGGGTCATCGACCATGTCGTATGTCTTGACTAGAAAAGGCGGCGGAGCATTCGCGTTTGGAATAGGCATCGGAGCAGGAGGCGGCGGCAAAGCAGCTCCGCCGTTCGCCGCCGTGGTTCCGCTGTTGACAGCGTCCATATCTCGCCGGAGCAAAAAAAAGCAATCAAATCAAAAGATAAGCATCAATCAGACAGAGTTCTGAAAGTAAATTTCAATTTCAATTTTTTTTTTTAGTGGACTGAGATAGTTTGAATATTGTTAGGGTTTTGAGGGAGTGTTGAACCCTAGATTTAGAGAGAGAAAGTTAGAGAGAGAGAGGGGGGTGTACGGTCACGGGAAAGAGAATGGGGCGGTTTACAGAGACGGGAGAGAGAAGACGGAGGAAACGGGCACGACCCGGTGCTTTGTTGGGGATGACGACGGAAGATGGTTTAGTGACTTAATGCACCTGTCTTTTTGTGATAATATATTGGAACCACCTTGGAATATGCTCCGTTTTTGGGTAACAACAATTATTCATTCCACTAAAAATATCATCACTAATAACACTAATGTATTAAAAAAAATATATATATAACTCCAAGACCAAAACATCACATCATTAATGACGAGACCCACTGTCACCTAATTAGTGGGAGCACTAATTAGTGTTCCCAAGCATTTTTCTTTGGGTAAATAACAAACACATCTTCTGATATTTACTTTAATTATAAATTATTTTATATAATTTTAAAAATTACATTATGTCTTTAAGATTTTTAATTTCATAATAAATAGATCATTTTGTTAATAAATTATTAAGTTAACTAATAGTTTTTAATAATATTAAAAAAAATTCAATTAATAATTTAAATAATTTTATTATTGTATAGGTGAACAGTTAGAAATTTCACTTTTTTAATTAATTCTGTTAAATAAAAAATTCTGACAATAAAATATTTGTAATTTTTCAAACTATGAAGACTAATTCATATTTTAAATAAATTTCAAAGGTATATTTATTGTCTTCCAAGCTTCGCTTCTATCCGATCACTTGCGAGCAAATAACGGTGAGCTACCCGGCGGTGTGTGGCCGGAAAAACCCTCCGACGATCAAGTTAGCGCACACCTTAAGATAGAGAGAGAGAGAGGAGTGTTTGAGTGTAAGAATTTCCTTACAAAGTGTTCCTGTATCGCGTATGGGGGCGCAGACATGCTTATATACCCTTCTGCGCCCCAAATCTACTCTCATTGGTTTCTCGACATGTGGCTCTGTTATCCCATCTGTCAGCACAAATCTTGCTATACATCACCTAACCCAACTGCCAGCCCACTCTGCTGGAAGCACGACAGCCGGGCAACATTATCTCGGCTATCAACGGCCATACTGAACATGCCCAAGTGCAGTTGATGTCGTAGTTTCCTACTACCGGGCTTAATTCCAGTCGTGCTCAACTGTATTCTGGCGAAGCTGAGCTGGAGACTGGTAACGCCGGTCAGCCAAAGACCTTCTCGGCCAAGCTCCAAGCACAGGCCTTCCTACCGGGTTAAGGTGCGTGTATTACAACCTTGCAACGCATGAGCCGGGGAACCTCATCTAGGCTGTTCCTCCACCTGTCCGGCCTTCGCGGAACCGAGATCAGATAACTCAGTTCCATGTGGGCTTTGCCATTACCAAGCAATATAACGACCTGATCTTGGAGCCCAATACCTCGGCCCAAATCTGTCCGGCTAACGTCACGGCCCAATCTCAGATCATAAATCTCCCTCTCAATTGCCCCTTAATTCCGTCCGCAAAAGCGTGACTGGGATTACTTATTTCGACCGGGATAACACTTCTTCGGTCCTCAGAATGCGAAATGGCGACCGGGCTAGTTGACATTCCTGTCTGCAAACTTGCTCGGTTATACTCCTCGGTTGACGTCCTCTTCTTCAAAAGTAGCCCGGTTGACTCAACTCTTCAACCTGTCTCTTCAGTTCTGACGTCGTCATAAATGGGGACACGTGGCGGGCTGCCATTGGTTCTCGAGCAGCCAACCCGCCGTCTTGCCAGAATTTGAATTTGGGCGGTCTCGTCTCCTCTATAAACATTCCCCCCCTCATCTTCCTTGAGCTCTTACTGACTCACTGCCATTCCAAGCAACCCAGAGCTCTTGCCTCTCCTCTGCCAATTCCTGAACTCGCGCTCGAAGATAAAGCAGCCACTGCTCCATATTGGTAAGCCCTCCAACCCTTGTTATGTTATTTTCCTTGATATTTCACACAATAGGGCAATTAAAGCGTAGTTTCTTAGACATAGGCCATAGAAATCGTCCCAAACCTCCCACTGTTCATGCTTTTCTTCATTTTCGCTGATGAACTTCGGAGAAATTGGGGCGGACCGGGCTCCAGGTCTTCGTTTGATCCAAAAAACCATTCCGATCGAGCAAATAACCTGTTAGACTTAACCATAGCAAGAACCGGGATAACAAAGGTCTTGGCCGCTCAACCGGCTAAAATCTAGTCTGCTTGGGCGGCCGAGCTCCTTGGTTAGCCTCTACGACCGAGGTGGTTTGGCACTCTAGACGACGAGCTAAAGTCAAGCTCGCTTTACGCGACCGCGCTCCTCTTACACTTGCCCTCCTTTTCCTGCAGAGTCAAGGGGACCACTGACCATTCTTGAGGCTCCAAAGACGAGCAGCCACAAATCACCTGACAGTGCCAAACCACAGCCGAACTAATTTAGCCGGTCGTAAATGGGGAAATTCCGCTTCCTCGTAGATACTCCGGCTGCCTTGGCCTGTGTTCAGGGAGGAGTACGGCATCCCGGCCGACGTCTACCTTGAGCTTGCAGAAGAGCAACAAACGCCTTGGGGCAATTCAGAACAATGCCCCTTCACCGTGCCATCTATCATCGAAGGAGGCCTCCGCTTCCCACTCACCCATTATCACCGAGTTCCTCCGCCGCACCGGGCTGGCACCACACAAGTGTCCACCAACACTTACCGAATTATCAACGGCGTCCTGAACTGAAACAACCGGCTAGGCACCACTTAGGTTTAGCCGAGATATTAAGGCAATACACTATGGGTCACACGGTGACGACCTAGCCTATTATTTGAAATCAGACCGGCAAGGAGAAAAATTGTAACTGGCACCCCGGATAAAGACTTGCACGCGACGATTTTTCTGGGTGTCGGGCAATTACGAAACAGCCGACGTACGGGCTTGGTTTATAAGCAAGAACTTCGGTTTCCTCATGTAAGCCGTTCAAACTTGCTCGGTCAGCCTACCTTCTTTATTCTGTAATTAACCAGTTTTCTTGTTTCTTTTGCAGCAATCCAAGCCTTGCAAGCTAACTACCAATTTCCCAACGTAGAGGCAATTCGGACCGTGCTCCGCTATCGCCACTAAGATTGCAACGAGCTGCTCGGTTACACTCCAACCTACAGATACTCAGCTCCACGCCGGAGTAAAGTTACAGACTTTCTCCGCGCTCCAACTCTTCCTCCAGACCCAAATCTGCCAGACGTTCCGCTAATCCGGCTGACCGAGGAACAAGAGATGGCTAAAAGAAGCCGCATCAAGAATCTCCTCACAGCCACATCCGTTGAAATACCAAGCATTTCTCCTCCGTCTCATGCTGCTGGTCAATCCAGCAGCCTTGTGGTTTTCCTGGCATCTCCAGCTGCCGGGCAATCCAGCCAACCCCGCCGGGCAAGCAAAAGACCTCGCGTAGATCCAACTGCCGAGTTGGTTGCCGAGCTAACAACCGAGCAGCCCACCAACACTGCTGATCCCATTCCACGATGGTGGCCGCAGCTCAAGCACCGGGGCCAAGATATCCCGGCAAATGCTTATGTCAAGGGCGATAAGGAGCACTTGTTGGCCTTTGACCTCTCGAAAGCTCTCTTGCTGCCAAGTGATGTGGTTGGCAGCGATCACGTCCCTGACACTCGGTTGGTGAAATCAGCAGTGAAATCCATGACCAGGGTAAGGATCCAACTTCCACTGAAATTTTACAAGCGTTTGCCCGGTTCCTTCACTAATCAAATTCGTTTCTTGCAGGCTATCCAAAAGCAGCACCTGGTAGTGGAACGCATCCACAGACTTCGACAAAAGGCAAATGACACAGCCAGCCAAGTCCAGAGCCTCCAAGCCGAGCTTAGCCGGGCAAAAGCATCTCTCCAAATCGCCAATGCTGACAACAACAGGTTGCACGGTCAGCTTGACGAGGCCGAGAAGAAGCGCGATGAGCTCCAGGCCGAACTGGACGCTCTGAAAAAGTCAAAGAAGAAGGACTGCCGAGATGCAAACAACGCCGGCTTCCTAGAAGCCGAGGAAAGCTACAAGAAGCATGTCTTCGCTACCCAAGACATCTACTTCAAAGCGGGTTGGAAGTCTGCCTACGAGCATCTCGGTCAGGGTCCTGATACTGACGTCTTTGCCACCCCGCCGCCTGCTTCCCTGCCGGCCTACCTCGTGTCATATGCCAATGACGTCTTCAGTGCATTGCAGGCTGAGGCCGATGAAGGGCTTGAAGAGGAAGAGGCCGGGGAAGATACTGACGGAGAGGAGCAACCAGAACAGGAGCAGCCCGGCCGAACTAAGCCCGGTGTTGAAAACCGATCTCCAGCAGTGAACTTGGAGACAACTCCGGATGATGAATTCACCAATCTCTCCCCCTTAGCTTAGTTTTCTTTTTTCTATTGTTTTTTTTTGTGCTTTGCACATGTAACCGGGCTCTCTGCCCCTCCTTTTGTATTAACTTTCTATCAATGAAAAGCTTTAATTTCATCAAGTATTTGCATGGTTTTCTCGAACTCTATCTTCAGCAAAACATCTCGGTTTAAATCACTAAGTTGCACAAATCACCAACTAGCTTGACCGGAGTTAACATCTCGGTAAATTTAGCAAAATTGAGGAACTTCTTCAACCGGAATAAACATCTCGGTGGGAACAACAAAGTTGAACAAATCACTAAATCTTTCAACCAGACTAAACCATCATGGTTGAGCATGCCTGAACTGAACAAAACATCTTGTATAACCGGAATACACCATCTCGGTTTTAATTCTGATAGAATTGAACAAACCATCAACTCCTTCAACCAGAGTAACTCATCTCGGTTGGAATCTCTGAGTTGAACAAACCATCAACTCCTTCAACCGGAGTAACTCATCTTGGTTGGAATACTTAAGTTGAACAAAGCATCAACTCTTTCAACCGGAGTAAATCATCTCGGTTGAGAATCTCAAGTATTCAAAGCAATCAATCAAAATGCTAAGGTAAAGAAGACACTTCTATATATTGACAAAAAGAATTACATTCTGAAGTGTAAGGCAAAAAATTTCTTTGCACAAAAAGAAAACAAAAGCTAGAATTAGTACAGTTTGAGATTGGCCGCATTCCATGGTCGCGGGATTGCTCTACCATCCAAATCCTCCAAGTGGTATGCCCCCTTGCCCG